TGCTATTTTCAGGCGAGTGGTAAAAAATCACTCACCTGCTATTTTCAGGCGAGTGGTAACAAAAATTACTCACCATACTATTTTCAAATACGAAGGACTGAAAACATTTATGCAATGCTCAAAAATAATGTTTAGAAAGTTTATTTTTTTGGACACATACTTTTTTTTATTCTCTCAAATAAAGACATGAATAGAAATTACAAATAATTATTAAAACATTGCAAACAAGAACAGTAATGGTACAGTAATTACCATTCTCTGTTTGATACAGTATCCTTTTCTAAGGTAACATTACCACCACAGTGTTACAAGGAAATTGCTACAGTTGCTTTCTATATTGATGTCAAAGTACATTTTTAATAATTAGGTAACCTTCAGATACTCAATTAAAATTTGTTTGAAAAACTATTGTGTTCAATGTTGGATACAGTGACATAGATAATTAGCAATCTGTGGGCAAAAGTATACGGAAATCAACATATCCTTCTTTCACCTGTCTTGTGTTGATTGGGACAGTTTTATTTACTTAGGTTGTCTTGTTCCCTAGTCAGTCTTTAAATTTCCTGCAATTAACTGAATCACATTTAGACTGTTCACCTTCCTACAATAATAGAAAACTTATGTCCAAATCAACATATCCTTCTTTCACCTGTCTTGTTTTGATTGGGACAGTTTTATTTACTTAGGTGGTCTTGTTCCCTAGTCAATCTTTAAATTTCCTGCAATTAACTGAATCACATTTAGACTGTTCGCCTTCCTACAATAATAAAAAAACTTTGAGAAAACTTATGTCCAAATTTATCTGTTAACTAATTGAAACTTGTAGCTTCTATATATTTATTCAAGTCTAGTGCCAACAGTTTCTAGCATTTTAATTAAGTTAAAATCATGTACACCAATGTATACGATACATGCCTGCTATCTGGTGTCGTTTTTGCTGGAAGTAGCTTCCATTCCTTTTTATGTAAATCAAGCTTGTGGACATCCATTGTGTATTCATATCCTGAAGTACCTCCAACTACATATAATGCTTCTTTGTAGAGGGCTACCCCCTGTAATTAATACACACATGATTTTATCTGCATTAAACAGTAAAACACAAACTTATGGATACAATAAGTTTTCATAATCTAAAGCCAATCTTTGAAAACTTTGGTAATCTAACACGAGTGTTTCTATATTTCTAGAACACCCTCTGGTATCATCTAGTATGCAACAATAAATCTATACAAATCATTTTTACAGATTTGTATGCAAGATAAATTCCATACAAAATGCTCTTAACCCCTTCTTGGACTGGAGGAGTGTCACTGATATCCCTTGATTTTTTTCCCCATCTCACAGCGGAAATAATTAAAATTGAATGGAACATAGTACAGACTTACTACATGGTATATAGTTCTGGCAAACAATTAGGTAACAATATTTTTGCTAACAATAATCTAGTTCAAGATCAATTTATATTTAGTATATCGAGTTTCTTTTCATTAGATATTTAGTTATTTATGTGATAAACTTAACAATAATAATCAATAAATAATAATTTGAATCACTGAATATTTTGCTATTACCTACCATACTCACTAAAACTAACTAAGCTTACTTGATGTCTTGTTCCAGATGAAAATTTCTGTAGTATTCAAACATACAATTCAACTATCACAAAAACATTTTTGTGAAAAAATAAATTATAAGAAAATTCCCAGATTTTCCGTTTATTTCCCGGTGTTCTATACTTCCCATTAGATTTCTACGTTGCCCCTACAAAAGCTCCAGGTAGTCCCTTTCCCACAATACTGTAAATTACTGCTCACACCATGTTACTTCACAATGATGTAAATACTTTATAATCTGCTTTGTCCAATGGTACTTTTCCTGTAGCTACTTTCAAAGCTAAGTTTCGTTAGTACTTGTTCAGGTCACATATTGTGACATCATAAAAGGGGTGGGAGTAAAAGGAAGCCATAATAAATCTTCAAACAGAAAAGGGAAAAATCACATCAAAAACAAAACACAAATAATTTTATTCCCAAGGGATAACAGCTTCTTTAGCAGATATAAACCTACTTTTGAATAGCCAGAAAAAAGTTTATAAAAAAAATTAAAAAGTGCATTGTTAACATGCAAGACTTCTCAGAGTTGCACAGAAATGGAAGTGTGAACAATTTTTTTCATTTTTCTCTGTAAATTAAACTAAATATGTGTTATAAAATGACAAAACATCCTTTCTAAAATTTTTTGGCTTAAGAACTGTTGAAATAGGAAATGAATTATTATTCTTACTTAAATTTTAAAATTTATATGCAGGTGTGCATTCAATATCTGAAACATGCTCCGAGGTCCCAGTAGGGTTAAAGTATAACTCACAAGACTCTGTTTCAAATAAAAAATAAATGCAGCAACAAGAAGTTTAAGTTAATATTGTTAATGTAAATATACATTACTTACCAATGGGTAAAAGCTAGTTTGATATTTACTTTACATCTAAGAAATCACACTTTTTGTTCCAATGCAACTGACAAGCCTGCAGGAATGTGTCATTTTTGAATAATCTAGAATTAATTTTTCCTCATTCTGCTATAATGATATTTTATGTATGTTTTACAAACTTTAATTTCTTCTATTACAGAACCAGAATCATGATCATTCACTGTCATTCTATTTCAGTGAGTGTCTGATAAGAAATACTGAATTAATTCAAGATGGCTTCTCAAGTAGTTTACTAAATACAACATATTGCCTATAAAAATCTTAGCCATGATGTAGAGTTACAGTGACTTTCAGTGATAACACAGTAGCTTATAAACAAATATTACTGTAGTACTTGCTTTGGGTTTCACTTGTCCTCCAAGCTTATAATGGCACTACAAAGAACTCTGCACCCAATATATCATTCTTCATGATATAACAAGCATTCTAAGTTTTATAAATCTATTATTTTGTATGCAAGTGATAGTTAGTGAGTTATGTAAATTAATAATAAAAAAAAAGTGTTATTTCTCTTTTTACATACTTGTCCATACAAAGGCTTAGGGGGAGTTCCAGTTGTTTTAAGATGACTCCACTCTAATGTTGACAAGTCACACACATGAAGGTCGTTGCTACTTGTTGAACCAAATGGTACACCTGTTCCTCCATACACCAAAAGTTTGTTGCCTATCATAGTGGCTGTCAACAAAATATATTGGGTATTAATACACTAGCAATAGTTCAACTGGTTTACAAAAACTATTCAAAATAACTTCAAAAATACACTTTCATAGTGCAAAAACATTCTTATTTTGAATTGTGCAGCTTTCAAATTTTTAAATGGAGGCAGTTTGTTCCTTTTTTCTAATGAGTAAATGAAAAGCTTTAAGTCTGAATCAAACTCAAAAGATGTAGTTTGACAGTTTATTTTTCAATTCAATTATTAATACTCAAGTTGCTAAAAAATAATCCTATCTTTAAACATAAAAAATGCAGAAAAGTTTGAAGAAAAATTATTATTAATAAAATACACATGGCAGCAGAAAACAATTAATAAAAGAAAGACTACATTACTTATGTAAATGATTAAGTAACTGTGATAAAACCACAACCACAAAAGGAAAATAATTTGTTATTGTAGGGGTCCCAGATAATTATAGTTAGTGGCCACGGAAGCGTGTGAATGTGAAATCGCAATTGCTAATATATAAATCTCACATAAACAAAATACTAATTATTGTACACCAAAAAACAAATGAAAATGTCAAGGCAACTGTACTGTCACAAGTTGTAAATCTGCTTTAAAAACATAGTGATAATTGCGAAAATTATCATCCACCATTTGTCAGAGATCAACGAGCAAATGTTAAAATTGAAACCAGCGTGTCGATTCGAATTGGCTGGACCAATCAGGATCAGTGATACATCAAAAATCTGTACTTTGGTCTGGCTGGTTTCATCGGATTCAGAAGTACTTACTATTTTAAAACACACAAATAAAACTTTATAACCATTTAAAATTCTTTTAGCCATTTAATTCTAAAACAATGCCATACAATAAACTTTGTGGTGTGGACTACATGATGCGTAAACCAGTACATAGATATGTCTGCCCAATTCGAACCAACAGCATGTCAAAAAATGACGAATGGGGATTGTAAACAGCCTATTCGTTGGCTTGGCAACAAGTTGCTTTACTTCATATCATCTGTCATAAACAGACTAAGTTGTCCTGGCAATAATTTGCTCTATGTCATATCACTGGGAGTGGCTACGAACGATGTATCAATTACCAGTTACATCATGATATAACATAGAACAGGTAGAGGTTACTACTGGTACTTACCTGTCAATCATGGTATTTTAAGTTTGCAACCAATGTGATTACGGAATCTCTCCTGCACTTTCATAGATATATAGGTAAGCTCACACTTCATTATTAACATTTGGTTATTGACAATTATCATTTCATTTATCCATATAATATGAATACAACAGATACGAGTTTGAAATGGATGGACGTTATTGGGACTACATTTAACCTTGCCTTGACATGGGTGTCATGCAGTATCGGGTTACCAGGTAAAGTGATAAATCACCGACATTTTGTTAACACTGTTCCAGTGGAAAGGTAGCATGGAGCAAAAGGTCTATTTATAATTTTTAATTGTTTTTATTAATTATTAACTACATAATTGAAGTTGCAGTGTAAATCTATTAACTTGTGACTGTAGAATCCAATGGTGTGTGATTTTTATTTTTATTATTATTTAAAATTCACTGAAACCCCTACTTGTAGTATAAAAGTAGTAGTTAACTCTTTCCATATGGGGTTGGTCAATGTGACTGACCTTGTAACCACAAAGTAACCATCAGAATTTCCATACTATAACTGTTAACTCTCTCAAACATGTCTCGTAACCATTTTGTACTCCTTATAGTTTCCTTATTAAAACTTTTAATACACTTTGTTTATTTTCACAAAATCTTAGTAAACTCTTAGTAAACATTACAAGTCACTTGTACAAAAAATATCAGATTTTTTAATGAAGTATTTTTACTAAAGATTTGTCCATGAATATATATAGTATTTCTATATACTACTCTGAGTGCAAAGTGGTTCCCACATTAAGATTAAAAATACCTTTCTTCATCTCAAAAATTTCAATTTTTTCTGCATAATCTTTAAAACCTCTTAAAGAAACTTCAAACTTTTTTTTTTCACTAAAACCTTATATTTTATCTGTTATTTTCCCTACCCTAACTACAAGGTTGGTCAATTTGAATGACCTCGTAACCACCAAATACACAAATGTGAATTATCTTTTTCTCTTTCTAGAATTATTTCAAATTGTAATATGAAAATACATTTGTTTATCTTAAATATCTTTAAACTCATGACAGTATACATCTATCTATACTTACATTTCACTGTTTTATTACCCTTTGAACCCTAGCTACTGTTCATGCCATTATCATAAGTACGGTAGTACTTATAGTAGGAATGGGCCAGATGTGCAATAAAACTTAAAATCTCCAACACACTGCATCCACATGGGGGTAGGACGAGGCATCTCAATTGAAGAAGTGAACCACCACCCTACTCTCAACTGAATGGTTTTATCATCATTTACGTATATATATATATTTGTTTTTCATTAACACATTCAGGAGAATGCCTCCATGGTCCAATAACCCAGTGGCTTGGAACTGGAAAGTGGTAAGAACTTTCAAACTCCACTAGAAAGTCTGGAGGAATGACAACACCTGAGACAGTGCAATGGGTGATCACGAAACCCTACTTTGAAAAGCAGACCATACTGATTTATTCAATACAAAACATGGCAGGAATGGGATGGGCAGCTATCCCTTTATGTTTTACCCATGAAATCTATGAGTGAGTATGGTCCGGGACAGGCACAGTAATGAAGCAAATATATCACAAAGATAAACCTACAAGCAATCTTGTGGAACACCCCATCTCAGCAGTGTGCATTTACTGGCCATGGAATTATAACTGTTAAGTTATCATGGCCTTACAGTACATCTTTTACTAGCTTAAGTACACCTGGACAGGCATCATTCGCTACAGAGCAGGATCCATAAAAGAAAAAAAAAAAGAGGGACATGCCCCTGAAAAATAAGAGGTATATATATACTAAAAGGTAACTTACCCACTCACAGCTTCATGAAAGAGTGAAGTATGGCAACAGGTGGATGACGGTACCATGACAAGGAAGAAACAGCAACCCAAAGTAAAGAATGGGAGATGAACGTATGAGGTGTAGTCCCAGTGCTCAACAGACAAAGTACCTCCAACTGACAACTGGAGCAAGGGAAGGAAATCATGGGAAATGGATTCAATGGAAAAACCTTGAAAACAATGAAGCAACACAAAACATGTATTGGACTGACAAAGTCATCTGGAACCGACTAAAAGGAAATGTGGAAGATGGTAAGAAACGGAAAAGTTAAAACGAAGGCGAGTAATATTAGGAGTAGGTAGGGTGGACCCCAGCCCCCAGGGGCCCACACAAATAAAATTAAGGATAAGAAATATAAATTATAAATTAAACAAATATAATGGTAAGAAATTTATTAGTGAAAGAAACATATGTAATACATGTTATGTATTGAAGAACAACAAAATATTTAACCAAACTAACAAGTAACCCAGAAGTATAACCACAGGTAAACTGAAATTAACAGACACTTGTGAAGCCTAAGCTAACAAGATAATTAATTTAATTAGCAATTAATCCTCAAGTAGAACTACAGGTAAACCAAAAATAACAGACACATGTTAAGCCTAATCGAACAGTGCAGGATAAAGGATATCACTAAGCTCTAAAATAAAAACCTTAACCTAACAATAAATATAAAAATAACGAAAATGAAATAAAAAGTAATTTATAAAAGGAAATAAGTGTGTATTAACAAGAACCTATATATGAGACATGATATATGGAAGGAAAACAATACAGTTAAATGAATGATTAATATACCAGTAAGATGAATTACAGGTAATCTTAAAATAAAAAACCCGTAGTAGTGATATAAGATAAAGGATACAACTAAGCCTAATTTCTAACCTGAACTGGACTATGAGTATCGACCAATCTAATAAAACTTATGTTTTAGAACTCAAAGAACTACAGATAATAATATTAAAAATAAAATTATTCAAAAACCATAACAACATAACGTCTTATCTTTCCAAAGTCAGCAGACTGTATGTCAAAATTTGTAGGCCCCCAAACTCGAGGTGAGGCCTGATGAAGGTCAGTTCATTGGATGATCAATCTCCTGATGAAGTAAAGCCCAAAACTTCCCACGTAATACCGTGACCTGAAGCTTGTGCTAATAGAACATATAACCTCTAAAGTGGTAACGTAGAATTCATAATGCAAAATGAATAACCAAACACAACTGTGTTGGCAGAAACAAATAAGTTTTTGTAATGAAGTAATAATTTCCATAACCAGGTTGAAATATAAAATAATTCCATTTTAGAATAACTCAACAAGTTAAAAATATCACTATTGTATAATAAAGAGTAAACTTGTTCAGAGAAATTAATATAAAGACACAGAAAAAAATTGAATAGAGCACAAACTAAACATTACAATATGAATACTACCAAACAAAAAGTGATAGTTTGAAAGAATTGAACAGAGGGAGTCACAGGCATCAAGCGAGTATGTTGCACTCTTGTTGGTGGAGGGTTGTTGCATGATGATTTGCATGTGAGATGCATTGAAACAGTCAATTCCAGATAGGTGGAAGCGTCAAGGCTTGTGGAATTTTTGTTTTCCATATAGAGGGCAGTACTGAACAAGAATAGCTATATATGTGAGGGGAGGTAATGTACCATATCTGAAGCAAAGTTTTCAGTTCTATACATCTGACTCAAGGGTTCTGTGTTGGACAAACCAATTATATCATAGCAGTCAGTGCCTAAGACATTAGTCTCCTATGCGAGGATAAACGCTACCACTGCCAAAGTCTAAAACGGCTTTGCTCGAGTGCTCTGGACTGAAAACAAGAAAGATAAGTTGTATAATTTACCTTTGCATTGTTTTCAAGCTCAGTGTGACCTACTGACATCTAAAGTTGTACATGAAACAGTGTGATTTTTAAAATATACCTTTCAAGGAAACAAAACAAGAAAAAATGAGAAAATGTTATGTTGATAACCTTGAAAAGTCTTTATCCAACTAAAGAGAGCATTACTGCAAGAATAGAGATAAGGTTAGAAACAGTAATGCTGAATATGTAAAACAAGCCTTGGCCATTAATCCAGCCAAAGAAAAGGTTGCCACCTTAGCTAAATGGCAGAAAAACTAGAGCAAAGATATTAGCAAGCACCAAAAAATGTCAAGAGATAACTCCGAGGAAAGGTATGAGAAGGATAGGCCTAGAGCCCAGTCACTCTTGAGACTTGGTGCCTAACAAATATAGCTACGAGACAAGCATAAAAAAATTAAGAAGTTGGAATGGGAGGAACAAAAAGTAAAGAAACAAGGTAGGAATGAGTGGGATAACATTACAACACTTGGTGATTTTTGACACAATGCAATCTCAAAGTTGGTGTGGCCATCATTCCACCCATTTGTGTATCTTCACAAAATTTAGTAACCTTTCAGCAAACATTACAAGTCTTTTGTATACAAAAAAAGTCATTTTTTTAATTAATTTCATATATATATATGGAGTAAAAGTCTTGACTGCTTCAAATGCAAATTGATTTTTGCGATAAGATTAAAAGTATTTTTTTTCTTCTGAAAATTTTATTTTGCATAACATCTAAATCCTCCTTAATATCAAACATTTTGTATTATCGATTTAAACTACCTTGTAACAACAATAAAAAAAATTGAAATAAATCGATATTACCTTTTTTCTCCCTTTCTAGAATAACTACAGATTATAACAAAAAAACTACAATTGTTTATCCTAAATAGTTTAATGATTTTAACAGTCTACATCTGTTTATATTTAATCTTACTGTTTTATTGCCCTTTGAACCTTGTCTAACGAATAATTCTACCAAACAAGTTGTGAATCATTCAGCAAACTTGTAGCTCGTACGATTTAACACACAGACTGCTCATAAGCATACCCCCTGAAGAATTTTTATTATTATAATTTTTCATTATCTTACTTAACCTAACAACACATAAAATTATACATGAAAAACAAGAAATAAAATACTTAATTTTAACCTCGTTCTTTGTTGCCGATGAAATTTAAGCCTACTTTTTTTTCATAATGATGATACTAGTACACATTTTTTATTTACTTAAATAATGCACCTAAGAACATACAATAACACATAGATTGCAAACTATCTTATAACTCATAATTTAGCTGGCTTTCTAACTAAAACAAGGTGGGCTTAAATTCATTCACAAAGCTGCTCAATCTGAACTCCACAAGATTTCAAACTGAAGATGAAACTGACAATACTCTGTAGTGAAAACAACACAGCATTATACATAATTTGATGTATTAAAACTTTGCCTTTCTATTGGTTATAAATTATACAGTATAAAAAGTTAAAAAGAATTATTGTCAATTTGTGAAAGAGAGGCTGTGACATGTAGACATGGCAAGTGGTTCTGATTTTCTAGTTTATGACTATAAACAAATAAAATTGAGGGCTATAAAAATTAGACTATGCCTTCATAATATCTATATTATAATGAGTAATTTTCATTAAATTCTGTACTTCTCAGAGAGGTGATAAATAAATTAGGGAAGAAAGAAGACCTAGAGGACCAATGTCACAATTCTCATACTAGAAGAGATTGAGTTTTTTTTAAAATGTTTCCTCATAAAATTAAGAATTTAAATCTTATATAATATTAAAATTTGATTTATTAACTACACTTTGATGCCAAGATTATTCATGTACATTGAAATAAAGTGGTTTAATTAAATTTTGGATGTAACCCTGTAAAAGGTCATGACATGCACATTTTGACCTACCCATTTCAAAAGGGTTAATGATTATGCCAGCAGACCGCAGAGCTAAATCTAGTTGTTAAAACGCTGGAAGTTGCCAACCTGCCTATGTTTTAATATATTAAATAAGCCATCAACATTGAAGTTAAATCAATTTCATATTTTTCATTTTACAACAAGTCCTAAATAAATATAGTTCATACATCGTGGCATTGAAGTAAAAATGAGTTTTCCCTTTTTATGTCAACTCTTTAAGAATCCAAAAGAACATTTAATTTAATTAATTTAATTTAAGATATCTGAACTATGTTTATAGTTTGGTAGCTGGGGCTGTAGATCACTTGCTAGTAATAAGCACTGTATTTACTAAACAGTTATAACTAATAATTCTTTACCTGCATGAGAAGCCAGCTGTGAGGGCATTTTCCCTTTAGTATGAAGCTTTGTCCAAACTTTACTGGTTAGGTTGAACTTCCATAACTGTGAAATTCAGAAGTCAAAATTATATTATTCCATTCATATTTTGAAAGAAACTAATAAACTAAATGACATGATTTATAAAATATAACCGAGGAAATATCAGAATATCTCAAAACAATTAAATAAATCTTTAGAGGTCTTACAAACATAAGAAACTGTAAAGTTGTGGTATAGCTATATTGTATATAGTGGAGTTCACAACAGATCAACGATAACTTTTTAATTTATAACATATCATTACAAAGAAAATTGTGTCTTTAAACTCACCAGCATGACAAAATAAGTATACTTACACACTGTTATGTTCATTAAGTATTAAATAATCACAAACGAGTAAAAAATGCTTATGCCTCACCAAAAATAAATCTTAGTCTAGAGATTTTTCAGCAAACCATTATGACAAAGTGAACATTATTTTTTTTGCTAAAAGTATAAAACAGACTTTATCTCAAAAAACATAATTAAAGTTTATATGATTTTGATTTTTGCATTAGGATCCTGATGGTACTTTTGTTGATTACTTACCATCCACTCAAGTAAGGTAGATTTCCCCAGCACCTCTGGCTTTGTCACAGAAAATTTAATGTACTCAAGGACAAATGATCCGATTTGCTATCGGACATGGCACACTCAACATCAGCATTTATGTACAAGTGCTCCTAACTTACAATTTTCCTAAACAACTATGAAGAAGTAGCTGACTCCTGAATATACACCATAAGGTATTTGGTTTTATTCATTTACCTGTCCCCTCCCACAAACAAGTAATGATGTTTACACTCATGCTTTTCTTCAGTTTCACCATTGAATAAATCACTGTCCGAGTTAAAAACAAATAGGATCAATGAGATCAAATAAGATCAATGCAATGATAATAATCGTTAAACACAGTTGGAATCCATTCTGGATTGAATTATGCATATTTGGAATTTAAAAAAAAATTCCATATATATATATATATATATATATCAGAGGCATTATCTGTCAACCAA